GAAAATTCATTCATAAAATTAGTGCTCGAGAGAGAGAGAGAGAGAGAGAGAGAGAGAGAGAGAATTTATAGTAATTATTGTTAAAGTAATGCAATCATTAGTGAATAAATAGTATTTATCTCTGGATATACTGTATTTTAATGATTAGTTCTTCAAATAATTATTCAACAAATTTAGGCTAAATATTTCAACACATATTCTGTGTCGCAAACAATAAATAATACATACAATCGTAATGAAAATTTCAGTCATAAAGTTATGTCATTTATTAGTCACAAGAAATTAATTAAAAACAATTATTCTGTTACTATATTTGAATATATTTTTACATAAACTATATTCAGACAAGATTTACAATTAAATATTTGTTGAATGAATAGTTTATTACATTTTATACACAAATCCAAGATTTTAATATTAATAATAAATTAATAATTTTTTAGAATTAAAATCAAATCTCATATAAAATAATAATTAATTTCAATTATTAGGCGACAAACGAGTCAATAATATTTATCACAAATATGTGTTTTATGACAAATATTTGTGATTTATTAACGAGAAATATGTAGACATTAATAAAAATCAATCATACAATTAAGGATTAAATGCCAAAACGATAGACAAAACTAATTACAAATAGGATACTAAATATAAGGCTAATAATAGTAACAGTGTATATTCTGTATATAAAAGTATATACTTTTCGTTGGGAATTAAATAACATCTGTTGTTATCAGAAATTGTTTTGAATGTAAAACTTTTTTCTCAACTCACTTTTGTATAACTAATTCAACTCCTAATTAGTTTCTCTCTGACGACTATTCGTCTCTCTCTCTCTCTCTCTCTCTCTCTCTCTCTCTGTTTTTTAAGTAGATATTCAATACGTAATACAAAAATGTTATTTATATAACTAAATACAGAATAAGATTTATGTTTTTCCGATTCATCTCTAATTACAAAACATTTCGTTACGTAAAAGTAAAGTAAACGAAAAGTAAAATATATTTTATACATTTTGTACACAACTATCATGTGTTGCAAACCCAGTGAATGTCAAATGAATTTTAATTTGAGTCTCAGTCATAAAAACACGAAAACTTTGCTGTTTTTCTCTTATACCACGAAAAAACATGAATGGTTTGAAATGTTTGTATAGTTATATAATCCTTGTATTAAAATTTGATGACAAAACGCACGTATCTTTCCCTATATCTCACTCTTTTCAATATAAAATGCATTTATATATAGTTTTTGTTTTCTAAAGAATTTGAGCGCTGAATAAGACTTATCTAAAGAATAGATCTAATGATATGATTGATACGAGAATCGAGTGATAAATACATACACTCTTTCATAGATTCATACAATACATCCATACATCACACGAATAATGAGAGAGAGAGAGAGAGAGAGAGAGAGAGAGAATTGATAGTAATTATTTTTAAAGTAATGCAATCATTAGTGAATAAATAGTATATACTGTATCTCTGGATATACTGTATTTTAATGATTAGTTCTGCAAATAATTATTCAACAAATTTAGGCTAAATATTTCAACACATATTCTGTGTCGCAAACAATAAATAATACATACAATCGTAATGAAAATTTCAGTCATAAAGTTATGTCATTTATTAGTCACAAGAAATGAATTAAAAATAATTATTCTGTTACTATATTTGAATATAGTTTCACATAAATTATATTCAGACAAGATTTACAATTAAATATTTGCTGAATGAATATTTGGAAACATTTTATACATGAATCCAAGATTTCAATATTAGTAATAAATTTATAATTTTTTTTAGATTCAAAATTAAATTTCATATAAAATAATAATTAATTTCAATTATTAGGCGACAAATGAGACAATGTTTGTCAATAATATTTATCACAAATATGTGTTTTGTGACAAATATTTGTGATTTATTAACGAGAAATATGTAGACATTAATAAAAATCAATCATACAATTAAGGATTAAATGCCAAAACGATAGACAAAACTAATTACAAATAGGATACTAAATATAAAGCTAATAATAATAACAGTGTACATAGATATATTTTGTATATAAAAGTATATACTTTTCGTAGGGAATTAAATAACATCTGTTGTTATCAGAAATTGTTTTGAATGTAAAACTTTTCTCTCGACTCACTTTTGTATAACTAATTCAACTCCTAATTAGTTTCTCTCTGACGACTATTCGTCTCTCTCTCTCTCTCGGGCGCTAATTTTATGAATGAATTTTCTTAATTTAAATGGGTTGTCATTATTGACCAATCAGAATTGATGATACAGTATAAATATAATTTTATTTTATTTCTATTACATTGCTTTCCATTGATTTTCAATTCTAGTAAAATTTTGAAATTAAATCAATATTTATATCTCAATAATGAAAGGGATGTTTACCAAAGATATTATCAAATGTTTGCGTTTTTATAAGAATATAAATATTTTCTTTTTTGCAAGTGTTTTGTTAGTATTTATCTTCCACTTTATCCCTATATCCTGTCTCCTACACTCATCTCTCTCTCTCTCTCTCTCTCTCTCACACACACACACACACACACACACACACACACATTGCATATTACGGCTTAAAACACATTTTAAATACTAAGAAAATGTTTGTCAAAAATTGCATTAAATTTATATAAATTCTTTCTCAGAAAAGACACGAAATCCCGACTGATTTCGTCTTAAAAGTTGACTCTATTTTTCTTTCTCATTGTATTCCATAATATAATGTAATTTTTATGCCAATAAAGCGTACGATTTATATCAATATACATTTTGTTTACTATTTTACTCACAAATTCAATACATCTTTGTATAAATAAATAGCGTATGGAGTGGTTGTGTATTAAATGGGATTATTGTGAGTGACTATAAACACATCCCATCACTGATTCAGAGAGAGAGAGAGAGAGAGAGAGAGAGAGAGAGAGAGATGTGCAATGTGATAACTTATCACTGATAAGCTAGGGTGAAATATATAAAAATAACCATTATATTCTGGTCATCACTATTGGATAGTAATATTGTTAAACACATTGAATACAAATATGATTTCTTAAGGAGTGATGTGCTGTAAAAATTGGTTCTCATTTTTCTCATAGACAGACATGTGTTGTGAGTTTGACATTAAGGGTTGTGTCACTTCAATGTGTCCTTAAATATGTGTTTCAGTCGTCACTTTTGAGTGAATATATATTGGGTTTGTATTGATAGTCAGTCTATAAATACATTAAATGACTGATAATTTATTGTCGACACATAAGGAAACATACGTTTATATATTTATTGTAAATAAAGTTTAAAATGAATTATTGTGTTATTGCTAATAGTATTTGTGATTTTTGTCATATAGATTTTGAAACTAGATTAACATTATATATACACATTTGAGGAACCTTTCGATACAATATATAATTTATTTGTTATTGTTATTGAAGCCATTAATCATTAACTGGTTTATAATTGTCAAACTTTGATATACTTGCCGTTAAAGTCATTTACTTTCTTATCTACAGACTTTGGCACACATTATATTTATAGTAAATAAAATTTAGAATATTTGTAAGCTTTAAATTAACCCTAATGTAATTAATAAAATTTTGCTTTACAATTAAAAGTAAAATTATTGCAATTAATACAACTCATAATATTTTCAATTAACTATTAATATTAATTATTAAAATCAAATTAATTCGTCTAAAATCATTATATTCGATCATGATCAATTCAATATTAATTTAAATATCAACAAGAATATTCTGTAAAAATATTTAATAAGAATATCAAAAGTTTTCCCCAGAATTTACAGAATATTCCTGAGAGAACGCCTGTGCGATGGGTGCGAGCGGTGGCGGCGATGTATACGCGTGTGTCTGCGCGCACTGTAAGCCTACAATCACACCATACATACCAGTGCTGTATTTGCACCGTTAGTTTATTGGTGGCAATAAGTAGTCTGAGTTTGAATTTGTCGGTGAGAGCGCTGTTTTGCCAAAAGATATAACCAGTTTGTTTTGCATCACTTTTTCGAATAACCTTGTTGATTATACAAACTTTGTTAAACAGTTGTCCCTAATAAAAGTTTATATTTGTTATCATGGTTGTCTTACGTACTGTATAATTATTGTGTTACAAAATATTCTGCATTTTAATCGTGTTTTAATTTGTAATTACAAATAAATTGTTGTTAACAATAGTTTTGGTCAACAAAAAAAAAGCTTTATTTATTGCTATAATAATCATTCGGTTTATGGCATTGACTTTCACTTCAAGTATCGGAACAAATATTATGAGTGAGAATTGTATCCACAAATCCATGAGTTGATTGCATTTCTCGTCCATCGACTTGTGAGCCCATAAGTGTCTGACAGGTGTTGGATGTGTTGCTAAACCTATCGACTTTTGCCGAAGACATAAAGCACTTGTTAATCAAATTAAAGTCCAAATTTGTGGGCAATTTTTGTCCCAACAATTTGTTTTGTTTGCCATTAGTTGGAGTGAAATACAGGACTTCTCGACGAAAGACAACAAATGAGACACAAATCCTGTCGGAGAGAGAGAGAGAAAGATAGCGTGAATTCAATACTACATTAGATAATAAGTATTTAGTATTTTATTTGCGCTAATATTTGGATCGCTTTATCGGAGAGAAAGAATCGTAAACTCTAGCGAAGAGATTGTGAGAGAGAGAAAAAGGGAGAGAGAAAGTGTCAGTTGAGTGGCAAGTCTTAAGACATTAATACAATTAACTAAATGACATCAAACTCCTAGTCTCTCCTCTCACACCACAACCACACGCCCTAAAGACATACAAATAAGACTTACTTTTTTTGTGTTTGGACTCTATATGTGTTGATCGCAAACAACAACAAAAATTAGACAAAAATAAAATCAATTGTGAATTAAATGTATTTTTAACCGAAGAAAAAAACTTGTGGTAAAACAACACAACAAAAACAAAACAAAACAATGGATAGTATGGTAATAGAGTTGACGGGTTCGGCCACCGGTGGTGGTGAGGGTCATTTCGGGTCGTCGGCGGTCAATATGAGCGACTGGTCATCGATGACCACTTTGGCGGACACGTACTGGAACTCGTCTACAATGGTGTCGACAACACCTGATATGCAGGAGGAGAATGTCTATATTCTTCCCCTTTGGCAGCAGTTTTTGTGGAGTTTTATATTTGGATTAATGGTAGTCGTGGCCGCCGGAGGCAATATTATTGTCATTTGGATTGTATTGGCACATAAGAGAATGGTAAGTCTATTCACACACACATGTAATGTAAATAACTTAAAACTTATTAGTTATCCATACATTTTTAAAAATAATTTATACTTTATTGTCGTGATTTATTTTAATAGTACTGGCAATATATTTTTTAAATTTTAGTTTTAGTTATGTTTTGTAATGTATCCTTGAATTAATGTTTATTGATATTGATTACATTGTATTAATTGTGCTTAATTTAATAAATCTGCCCAAAACCAGAGGACAGTAACCAATTATTTTCTGGTGAACCTGAGTCTGGCGGACACAATGGTCTCCACACTGAACGTCATATTCAACTTCATATACATGTTGAACAGCGACTGGCCTTTCGGCCAATTCTACTGCAAAGTATCCAACTTTATAGCCATCGTATCGGTCGGCGCCTCTGTCTTCACACTTATGGCCATTTCTATTGACCGGTCAGTACTTTATTGCATTACATTTACACAATATATTATATAACATACTTTACAATACTTTACATTTACATGCCATGAAATATGAAGTGTGTGTTTAAATTTAAATCTAGTTTGATTCAGTAATTTTTAATGGCATTTTTGTTGTTTTGGTTTTACATTTATAAAAAGTTTATCTCAAATATTTTAAACGAAATTCTCGTCAATGAATGCCAGAATTGAGTGGTTTTTTCGGATTCAGGCAAATATTTTTAAATAAAATGAATATTCTTTAAATGAATAAATTTATATTCTATGAAAAATATATGAAATTTATTACATTTAAATGATTAGTATTTTATTGCATTTAAAATTATGTTTTTATCATTAAAATAAGCTTTTCTTTTGATATAAAACCACTAAATTATCGATAAATCATTGCTTTAATTCATTCATATGTATAATAGTGTGTCTCATAAAGGAAATAATTAATTTTTTTAAAGGAACTTTTATTATGATAAAAATTCTCTCTCTCTCTTTCATATAAAAATTTATTACAAAATATCAAATAAATCTATGAATACATTCACACCAATTACATTAATTAATAAATATTGCCTAATAAATCTGCCCAAAA